GCTGAAGACCGGAATGAGTTTATTTCTTGACGTTCTTAAGAGCTGGGATCTTCTTACGGTACTTTCTAACATATTTTGCACTTGGACTTACTCCTACATCCATATAAAGTTCAGCTCAAATAGCAACTGAAGTCAGCGGATCATTCACACAGCTGTACTTAGGCGGATTGGATGCTCGAACAGCAAGCAGTGGACGATGTTTTTTTGAAAAATTTTATTCAGCGAATGGGCATATTACTCACTCTGGTAATACGTAAATAAGTCAAATTTTTGCGTTTGGGCACCGAGAATCCTCACGTAATTAAGTACACCTAAAAGACTTACTGTCTGGTGCACTCTTTGGCTTGGAGGTGTGATTGGACCTTACTTCTAGAAAAACTACAACGGCGAGACTGTCACTGTAAATTCGGATCATTACTGTTGTATGATATCCGACTTCTTTTGGCCTCCAGGTGAAGACAACGACTTCTAATCAAAATGATCACAAATACCACACATTGCGAACCATATTACAAGACAAATTTCCCAGCCACGTAATCTCTCGTCTTTACGATGTCAATTGGCCAACAAGATTATGTTATTTGATACCGTTGAACTCTTTTTATAAGGCTTTGCCTTACACGGATAAACAGTTAACTCTTGAACACTTTAAAATCCACAACCGTCAAGGTGTGGTTGAGATACCACCCAATATGCGCTAAAAGTTTGTCGGAAAATACTTTTCGAAACCTCAAAATCGATAACCTTTTATAAATGAAGTATTTGTTGCTTAACATACGAGCATAATGAGACAAACCGTCACACATGCTCGTCTACCCACACATATACAAACAACAACGACTAATGTACTGACATACATTACACCCACTGATTCACTGACGTATTCAATGCACGACGAAAGTATCAATCAATCTTAATTCAATCCAATTACAATAAATAATAACATTAGTATTTGAGTCAATGTGGGGAGCGAGTGAAAAGATAAAAACAAAATTGGAACGGAAATGAATTGATGTAAAGAAAGCAGAACAAGAATCACAAGGAATAAATGAGATAAAGAAAATCAAAGAAAAAGCGAATAAAAAATTAAGCCACAAAAATACTAGATAATAAAGAAAAGTTAAAGAAATTAGGAAATTCACTTAAACGATTTAATGTGGCAGTGACACTTGTGGCATAATATTGATGCCTACCATCACAAAATGTCTCACAGCTCTCTTGAGCGGCAGGATCAAGCACACAAAAAACGAAGGCAAACAACACAAAATAACAAATTTCATTTAAAAGCACAAAAGGAGCGCAACCGATTTCGAGCGAACGGCATTAATACTTTGGTAGTCGGCTTAAATGGCATCATATGCCACTAATCTGACCGCAAAACAAAAACAACACACGTTATAATCGAAGCGGTTGAGTTGGGTGAAATCCCATCAATTGATTATCAATCAAGTGAGAAAAGTGCTGCCAATCGATGCTGTTGTTGTTGCTGCTATTTCTATTGTTTTTCAACTTGCCGCCGTTGTTATTGCTGCTATTAGTGAGGCTGTGGCTGGTGGAGAAAAGAAAAAGAATCTTCCTAAAGAAAAAAATAATAAAAAAACAAGCAGGAAGAGCAAGTGGAGACACCCAATACAAAATCCCACTCATACACCCGCATTATAAGGCGGACGCGAAGAAAGGGCAGACAGCTAAGAACGAATGAGTGAATTGAAAGAAAGAAAGAAAGAAAGAATGGAATCCTAATGGAATTTAAGCTGTCAATTTCTGGCAAAATGGTTGACAACATTAAACCGACACAAAATAAAATTGACAAACATTTTTTGGTTCAAGTGAAAACAAGTAATGGGCGTCGCGGCAATGCTCAGAATGGAAATAAAATAAACAAAAGTAGTAGATGTGCATGTACTGCCGAAACGAAACGAAACGAATGAATGAAAATTCCATACATATATACACATGCATGTACATAAGCACACACACATACTGACACTCCTAACCCACAGCACATAACAAAAGCCAGCAAACATTTGGTTAGATTTCAGACCATGGCACCGAGTTTGTGGGCAAAACTGGTCGGGCGTAGTGTGGCTGATTTAATATTGTCCCTTTTGGCAATGTTAGTGGGCGGTAAGCGAATTTTATTAGAATGTAGCTTAGGTAAGGCCAACAGAGGGTAAATAAAATTGTAAAGACAAATAAAGAAAAAAAAAACGTTTGGAAGATATATGGGGTCCGGCACTCGAAGTGTAAACAATTAAAAAGGTCATAAATTCAGTTTGGAAAATTACTTTTAATCAATTCAAAGTGCAAAATATGTGAAAATAATAAAAACGTAAAAAAATTACTTTTGCCCAATATGACCACCCAAGCAGCAACAAGTCAGATTTGAGAGAGCGAAGAAGTTGCTTGGCTTAGCCGAAAGTGGTAAATTTCCAAATTTCAGTTGAGCAATCCGTAAACTCTCAAAACGATAGAATGTACTTGACCGCCCGTTCATATAAGAACTTTAGTCATCGATTGAGATCACCAGGAAGCAGTACCCGCCATAGATAATGGTTTGGGTAACTGGAAGCCCAGGTGGGCGCTCTTAAGGGTCACACCTAGTGTAATGGCCCAAAAAAAGGTGATATTTGGGAATTTTTATTAAAAAAAAAAATACTTTATCAATGCCTTTACAATGACGTTCGATAAAAAAAAATCAAAAATTGACAATATTGCGGACAAATAATTCGGTGCACGACCCTGTACGTTTCAAAAGGATTCGGTACCGTCTCATAAAGCGCGGGTAAACCAAGATTGGCTGAAAAACAACGTTTCGAACTTTATAATGTCCACGCAATGGTCGTCGATTTCACGAGATATAATAGTCTCGAGGTGCTGAAGAAAGACGTTATCCGTGAGTGCACCAAAATACCTGCAAGTCACATTCGGGCAGTTGCGATTCATGTTTGGACCGTCTCATGCGCATGGTAAAGGCAAAAGATGATCATAACGAACAAAAGTAAATAGCTTCCAAATTTTGTATCATTTTCACACATTTTGTCCTTTGAATTGATTAGCCATAATTTTCCAAACTGAATTTATGGCCTTTTTAATTGATTACACTTTGAGTCACAGGGTATGTAGTGTGTGAAAAGGAAATCGTGACAAAATCATTTTTAAGCGTTGCAAAAAAAAAAAATAAAACTATCTTTTGTTTATTGATTCGAAAAATAGATAATTCAAAAGCAACTCTGTAGCGATGTTTATATTTGCAGAAGCCCCAAAGAGTACTTTTGCATTTAACTAAGTTAAGCCAGACATTTTCTACTCCGAGTCGGTCCAATACAGTCACCACAGTAAAACTATTTTGAAAAATCAACGAAATTGATGAAGATTCCAACTTCATGGAATCTCAAAAAAGTATAAAATTTTTGAATCTGCTTAACGAAAGGCCAACAATAGGTCTTTTTTATGCAGTCATTGACAAAAGGTAAACCGTTGTCTCCGAGAGACTGGAAGATCCTTCGACTCTGATGATTTTGCTGTTTGGACAAGACTTTTTGCCATGAATGTGTCACTTTTGTGTGTACCATTGGTATTTCAAGGTCCCTATGTATGTTTCCCTTGCGAATGTACCAAGGACATTCAAGAGGTTTCGCAGCATTTTTGATTAAAGTCAGAAAATTTTATGGACACTAGTTGCACAAACAGAGCGCCATATTTGTATTCCTTAAAGGATTTTGCGTTTCCAGCTTCGAGCTGAAATTTATCCAACAACCACTTGAGGCTGGTGGTTCATAGTAATCTTCCATGCCAATCACATGTCTATACGCATGCCAAGGTATTTGACTTCACTTACTTGGTTATAATGCCGTTTAGTTTCTCCCTTCAGGATCAATTCAATCCTTTACTTTTATGCAGATTTCTGTGAATGTTGAAGTTAGTACTTGAGCGCTCATTTGATGTCTGCATTGAATTCTTCTACATTACTAATTGAGACATCACTAACGCGATTATAGCCCAGTTAACAATCAATCATTCCTTTTTTCGGTGTTTTGTTGGGGCCCACCAGTACAGCCAGCCCCTTTTCCGACTGGTTTTTTCAACAGACTGTAAGTCATCCTATGCTCCTTCACTTTCCATATCCATCCGGACCACATGTCCAAGCCAGAATGTCAACTGTTTCTTGTTGCGCTGAACTATGTTAATGTCACCGCTTATTCCCGTACAGCTCATAGTTCCATCGGCTGCCGTATTTGCCGATGCCAACGTACAGAGGACCATGAATCTTGCACAAAAATCTGTTCTCAAAAACTTTCAACGCCAACTCATCAGATGTTGCAGAACGTTGTGTTATGTTAAGAGACTTGTAGAGTTTGATCTATCTTGAGAAACGCCAGCCAAAATTCGCCACACAGAAGTTAAGAAAGGCGAAGTGCTGAAATTCTCTAACGAGCCCAAGTAGATATGTAAAGAACAACATAAAACAGAACGTTCTCATGGCCTTACAATGCAACCTGCTAATTTTTATTTAAAGAAAAACATTTTACGATATTTTACGTGAAAAGGAGTAAAAATGAGGAAACTTTTCTCTGCATCTATTCTGTTTAATAACAGGTTTCACATAAAAAGTATATGATTTTGAGATTTGTCAATGTTGAAAGAACCAATAATGAAGAAGTAGGAAATATTTTGTTCAAAACTAATAGCGGACTCCTCTAGTTTGGTGTTATGACATCATAAGGTATAAGCAAAAATTGAATTTTTTTCATTTTTTTTTTAGATGAGCCCAGCGTTAATGAATGTTTTGTGTGCAAACGAAGTCTTAAATCATCACTGAGTTTCCTTGCACGAAGATGCCATAAAAATTAATTAGCATTCACAACCAGCAGAATATTTTTGCTCAGCCAAGTAACTAATCAGAAATATGAGCCCTTAAAACTTTAGTTTTGTGTAATAAAGGCAAAAATTTAAATTAATGTAGATGTAGTGATGACCTTAATAAATCTTATACTTACTTCGTCCTTAAAACAACACCAAACAAATTGAGGAAGTATCTTTATTACACTTGATTCTCTCACTTTCGTTTACTTGTTATTGTGTTTTTGTTTTTTTTTTTTTTTTTGTTGGCTTTTATTTCAATTTACACTTGCAGCTAAATTAAATGCCTAATTATTCATAGAGGATACGTAGGCAGAATAATTTATTTTTTATTATAATTTTTTTTATTTTATTTTATACATTTATTTTTTAACACATGACCACAAGCGGCCGCACACTGTCGACAAACAAAAAAAACCTTTAAAAAAAGCTTGATTAGGTATTCACTGAGTGTTCAACTTCACTTTTATATAAGCAAAAGTACTTGTTATTTTGTATATATGTACGTTTGTAATATAATATATTCGATTTCCAATTTGTTATTTATACACACATTCCTTTACTTAACGTGTTGAATTCGCGCATATTTTTTTTCAACTAGTTTATTGATTGTTTGTTTCACTAATTCACATACCTCACTACACCCTTGTGGGCGTTTTCTCATTTACATAAGAATGTACAAAGGAATTCTGCGAAGAACGAGTAAAGGCTAAGTACAAGCGAAAAGTCCAACGTAAGCCAACTTGTGTGTAAGCTACATACTATGTATGTATGTATATATTTATATACCGATAAACGTATGTAAATATGTTTATCAGCGTTAGTGGGTAAAACTACATAGTCATTCGCTTTAAAGTATGCACGCGTTTGTATCTATGAGCATAGAAATGGGCGCGTTAATTTGAATTTCAAATACGTGCTCAACGCTTGACGCTCTGGAGTGTTACCGAAGGTTACACTATATTATAATCACTTGAACAATGCTTCCTATATGCATGTATGCATGTATGTATATCCTTAAAGTCAATATTTATTTAAAACGTCACACAAAATAAATTTTCTCTAAACACTAAACACGCTTTTGTTTGTATTGTATTTTATACATTTGTTTTTATTTATTTGCTTTAAATTATCACTCGTGCGTGCATACGCCGAAAAGTATGCTTCACTTCGTGCTGTGAGCTTAGTATTGAAACGCAGTACAATTATCCAACACGTGCTAAAGCAAATTCACCCACTTTAAATCTGCAATTGTCAATTGGTAATTTAATTGTGTGTATTTGTTATTGTTTTATGAAAATTAAATAAATTTACACTTTTTCAATATTGTTTACAAACATATTTTCACATCTGATTATTATTTTTGTTCACTATAAAAACGTGTGGAGAAAATGCAGCTGCTTTTGCTGCTACTTCTCTTTGAAAAGTCTGTCAATATATACCGTTAAAGCGCTTCCGCGTTAAACGTGTCAATATTGCCGAATAGTTCACTTCAAACTAAACGTTTTTGCTTTTGCTCCTTCAAACCAACTGAAATTCCAACTAAACGAGGACCGAGTTCGTGCACACTTCGTACGTTTGCTGGCTTTTGCAACATAACGGTAATCACTTTCGCCTTTACAGTTTTTATTATTCTCGTTTTTCGTTCGTTCGTCTTGCTATGCTCGATACTCGTGAACTTTGCGAATTCGCCCAAAAGAGCGTTGATGCTCATTACTCTGATTAGAGTTGGCTGAGACTGGTCGAGAAAGCAGGTCGTGTGCTCACCTGATGATTAGTGTATCAACAATAGTATGGCAAAACATGTACAAAACTGTTGAAATTATATGTAGAACATGGGCACAATGGAATTCGCCGGAGTCATTTTTGAAAACCGGCGAATGAATTTAAACAATTTAGAGAGAAATACTTGGAGAATGAGAGTGTAGGATGTTAAGAGCTTAACGATTTCTGAGAATCTTTAAAACTGAAAATTTTAATTTATGTGATGATTCCCATTTGAGCCAAATTTAAACTGCCTCATTCTATATTATTTAATATTTTATATAAATACAATAACAATTAAAATTAAAATTAAAATTAAAATTAAAATTAAAATTAAAATTAAAATTAAAATTAAAATTAAAATTAAAATTAAAATTAAAATTAAAATTAAAATTAAAATTAAAATTAAAATTAAAATTAAAATTGAAATTAAAAAATAGCGATACTCCTTAGCAAATAATTAAAGCGCGAAAAGCTAAAATAACAAATGCTTAACAATACATAATCGAGAGCACTTACTATCAATTCGCCTTTCTTTTCTATTAAAAGTACGAGTCTCTTTGCTCTTCGCAAGCGTTGTCTCTCATGCTCTTGTCAAGCCACAATTACTCATATAAATAGCTGCGCATTCGCCAACTACCCCTCATTTTCGCCGCAAATACCCCTTAGAGGTCTGTGCACATAGCACTCCGAAGAGGTGGTGAGTTTTACTATATCGCTTGCAGCCTTATTTTCGCTCAAATGTTGCTGCAACATTGTATTCTAAAAACGCTTGTTCTACATTTTATATCCTTTCAGGCACATATTGTGGCATATCTGCTCATGAGGGTTGGTAGTGGAAGAAATATAGTTTTGGTGTCATTCGCTGTTTGATAGCGAAAGTGAATGCTACATGTGCCGTCAGTTAAAGGAGTTGTTAGGTTTTCGGCAACCAGACTATTCTAGTGCAGACTTGTTTATGAAGTGTACATTTCTAATTGAGTTTAAATACCTTTTTTATGCATCATGTCATGCAGTTTTAATATTCTTTGAATAGAAATTTTGTCTGACTTCCGGTAAAATTATCTGGAATATTATAACTCTCTAAAGAATTTATAAATGTTAATTTATTATTATTTGAGCAATGTCTTTAAGCATTATTTAATTCAATCACTCAAGGGAATGTATTATATATTTGCTGATCATTTAAAAATTAAATATCATAAAGATAATACATAAACTTTATAGACTCGCTCAAATCTGTATATTTCGAATAATAGAAAAATGGTTCTGAGAAAAATAACATTTTTAGCTTTGCTTGATTTGATATTTAAGAAAAATGAAATGAAAGTTAATAAATGAATGGTAGTTGAACGGTTGGCTGCTACTCTTTACTCAAATTTCTCAAGGTCCTTCCACTGGACCTACACGAGAAATTATAAGCGAGTTGCACCGCTTTATATTATGCAACTCAACCTTGGAACAGTATGATTCACTAAAATATTATGTCTTGCAAAAGTGCCGAAGAAGCTTCACCTAAACCCTTAACCAGAGAATCATAGCCCATTTTATAGACAGGAACCTGTTTCTAATGGCATTTTTGATGCAATACATTGTGAGATTATTGAGAGACCAGTTAAGACCCCTCACATTAGCCAATTGAAATTAAATCTGGTCCAGCAGGACTTTTAGCTGCGGCAGTTATTTAATTTGCACAACAATTGCGGAAATAGGAGCAATTTAAGCTCGGCTAGCCCAAAAGTAAGGCGCAGTTGGCTAGAGGTGCAAATTCAAGCTCCTTCTCATGTTATATGGAAGCAATGATTCACCCACAGTTTTCCGATTAGTTTAATATGAACACCCACGGGGCCACTAGGTAATCACCTGATATTACCGACTTTCAGTTAAAAGACAATTAGTTAAATGTGGTGATTTTTTATAAATTCTCGTTTTGGGAAAAATTTTAGATTTGGTCATATTAATATAGAGTAGAGACAGAGAATTAAAAAATAAAATGTAACTCTATTCGTTTGATCAGAATTTAAAAAAATTTTTTGAAACACCAGCTCATTCTTAATATTCAATATTCAAGAGTAAGAAAAATATTAAACAGAACATAAAAATCAACAATGGAATTAAAAAAATGGCATAAGACTAGACGTCTGGTGAGTGAAATGAAATGTCAAAATATTAATTCATAATCCGCGTCAGACAAAGCCAATAACAACACAACAAAACAAGGTATGCCTAAAGCGGCGCAGTGTGCGAGAGGGGTAGAAAATTTAATTGAAGAAACACGGACAAACGAATGGTCGGAGTAATGTCGACAGCGCGTCACACACCAGCAAGAGGGGCGACTGGTGACTATGTATTCTAATCATTTGAAAAATTATGCGTCAAAAAATTAGTAAAAATATAAAAACAACTGAAAATAAAAGGTGCATAAATGTTTGACGGAAAAGCAGAACTAATGAAAAAATGAGTCGGAAAATTAGCCGACAGGAAGTGCAACGTCATCACGAATGCATAAAAAAATTATTTATGTTGAAATTTGTTAGATTTTTTTTTTATTAATTTATTTATTTTTTTTTTTTTTGATGACGAGGGGTGTGTTTTATGATTTATTATTGTGCAAGTTTAATTTCGAAAATATAATCAGATTAAAAAGACTGTTATGCAAGGATAAATTCATATGTATTTAAATAAATGAATATAGAAAAGGATAATAAAGGTTGAAGGGAAATATACCGCTAGTTGGCATGACAGTGTGGCATTTTAAGTGTAAAAAAATGAAAAAAAAATTTTAATGAAAAAAATAAAAGTAAATGTATGCTCACACGATTATATTAATGAAAAGGGAAATATTTCTTTCGATTAAAATGTGTTCAAGAATCATGTATAGAACATTAAGATATATGGAAATAGAATTTATGATACGACTACAGAAACGATTAGTTAACTAAAATACCTAATTTTTATTTATTTATATAATAAAATTTTGCTTAGGCATATTTAAAAAGAGATATTTTAATATGAAAGAGTTCAGGTGAGCAGAGAAAGTCCTTTTGCCTCAAACGAAAACTGGTAAGCTATAGATCAGAATCAATATAAAGCCTCGATAACTTGTACCAACAGGTTCGAAAGTGGCATTATTAGATTGACATTGAGTAAAAGAAATTTTGACACAGAAAAGCTGCTCTCATTAAAGTTAAAATATTTACAATCTTCAAAGATTCAATTTTAATTTACCTATATATCTTGGCTTACCTACAAAAGAACCCTCGTAACAGGGAGAATACGTAAAGCGAACTTCATTTCTGATGACAGTTTAGCTTTGCCACTGTAAAAGATAAATCCACCGCGGTGCGGTCCATTAGAGGGTAAGCTCTCTAGTGCGCACTACAGGCCAGAAGAAAATAATATAACCTAACGATAATAAAAGCAAAAAAGCCTAATCTAAAGTTATAACAAATAATAAAAATTATTTTTATCATAATTTAGCAATAAACTAGCTCTATTTAACAAATATTTTGCTTTTTGGAATTTTGAAAATTAATGGAGTGTTTTACAAAATCTCATATACAAAAATTTTACAACCTCATATGCTCATATTTATTATTATTAAATATTACTACATTGTTATATGGAAATTAAATGAGAAATTCAAAGTGTTTTGCATAACAATATCTTTAAAAGCCTTAAGGATCTTAAGAGGGAAAATAAACAAACGTCAAAAAGGGTTTTAAATAATTTTGTAAATAACTACAGCCGCTGCTAAATTAATGAAATAGACAAATGTTCCTCTGACATAGTAATTTATTATTGGCAAAAAAATATAGAAAGAGCTCTAATATTTTACGTAATGGTTTTTTCTTTTAATTTTGAAGAATAACATCCTTACGTTCGCTGGACTTTAAAAGTTAACTCTTGAATGTGTTGCAAGGACGAGAACAAGCATTGTGATCGTGCGAAGCAAACAGGAGTTAAAAGAGAAATAAATGATGGTAAAGAGTGAAAGAGAAATTTTAGTTTAATGCTGCGACTACCCATCTAACCTACCTTCCAGTCATAGCAACCTATCTTATGAGAGCACCATGTAAATGGAAAGTTGTCATCGCTTGTCGATGTCGTTGCTGACGGTTGATAGGCAAGAAATACTGGTGTTTGTTTATTCTGTATGTAAGACGTGTAGCTCGCAAGTGTTGGAAGAAAATTATCATTTTCCTCCGCTCATTTTTGCAGGGCATTATTATGCCGATTTCTCGTCATTTCTGGATGCTCTTCGAAACAATTATTTAAAGAT